GCAAACCGACTGGTTGGGTTACCTCCCAACAAGCGGTTCTTTCACGTTGTTAGTTGGACGGTGGCTCCTAAGTTTTGGTCCACCCCAAAACCTCCTTGAAGTTGAGGTTCTCGTTGATGAGGTTCAGTCTCAAGTCACGAGCAGGTGGTATGGTAGGTGATGAATATGGCTCGTGCCCTTGAGGAAGATGAAGTCTCCACACTCGAGACCTCTCATTCGCTTCTTCTCTGGTCTTATTACCCCAAACAAGATATTACAACATCGATTGACCACCATTGTGTCCACCAAGAGGGACCGATGCCGGCGTAGCCTTGGTCTGCCAAAGAGACACTGCAAAAGGGTCCTTGCCAAGCACTCCTTGAAGTTTGATGGAGATCTACCACCAAAGGACATTCCTGATCGTGAATATCACGGGAGTTCTCCACGACAAATTCTGTATGCTCCTCAACATCCTCATGATTGGTTTCTTCTTCCTCCTTATCTACTTGTATGGTAGCATAAAGGTTGTCTAGAGCAAACTGTGCACAAGCTTTCTCAATGACCTCTATGTGCTTCTCTATGCTCCGGAGGGTCTCCTCCGTTTCACGCGGAAAGGAGAAGTCAGTTTGGGCAATGGCCTGGATATGAGGATCCAACTTGGAGAATGATCTTTCAGCATCCCGAGCACACTTCTTCATGAAAAGATCCAATTTACTCTTCGACTCTGGCCATGGAGTATAACACAGCTCTGCAGAATGGCCCGTGAGGGCCGCCATGGCTAACTCCAACTCAGATGGCCCCTCTTGTTGTGGGAGGGATTCTTCTTGATAAGGAGATTGTTCTTGAGGTGCCCAAGGATCTGGTTGTTCTCCGTAGTAGGGAGGTTGGTACTGAAACCCGAATCCATAGTCTTCTCCTCCTTGATTGCTCCAAGAAGTCTCGAGGTAATACCACTCGGGTGGTGGTGGATACCCCCAAAGGTTGGAGAAGCCATGAGGATCCATGTTCCAAATCTGCACCAACAAAAACAAAACACCCAAGCGAAAAGCAAGGGGGGAAAGAAAAGGAAAACGCTAAAGTAAAAAAACTTCTGCCTTTCCTAATAACCTAAATGAAGGGAAGTTACTCCATAGAAAAGAGAGAGAAGGCAGAAATCTGATCTAGATCTTCAATCTCCATCTCCTAGCTTGATTCCCAAGCTCCAATGATGAAGAAATCCTCCAAAATAGCTCCAAGAATGATCCCAAGTTGCGCTCTCTCTCTAGGGTTTGTCCCTCGGGTGTTTGGGATCCAAAACCTAGCTCTCTCCCTAAAAAAATCGCAGAAAATAGACTATCAGAACAGAAGCGTGCAATCGATAATCCAAACCAACACGAATGAACACAAATTTAACGTGGTTCACTAACACAATGTGTGCTAGCTAATCCACTGGCAGGGGAAAACAAATTTCACTAATTTGAGGAGAGTATAGGTTACAAACCAAATTCCAGAACGGACAAACCAAACAAACTAACCTAACCGATCTTACTACAGATTAGGGTGATGAAGAGTATTTGTAGAACTCTTCTCCTCATCCCAAACAGAAAACCACACACTTTTTCCCATACATACAAGGAAAAGGTCAAACAAAGCCTAAACACAAACCCAAACAAAATTGACCCAAACACAAAACAAACCCAAATCAAATTCAAGTCATATTCTAACAATCTCCACCTTGACTTGAATTCTCTCTCAAATACCAAATGTACCAGAAGCAACCAAAGTCGCCAAATGTACCCAACCGCGATACATATCGCCAGACGTATCCAAATGCGATCGAAACCGCCAAACTCAAACGCGATGCAAATCGCCAAACTCAGATGCAATCAAATTGCCAGAAGTATCAAACTCTCCAAATCTCCAAATGTATCAGAACCTCCCCTGCCTCCAAATGCCCCTAAGGGCGGTCAACAAATCAAAACATGCAGCAGGTCCAATCATGTTGGAACTTGCCATGCAGTACCAGCTTGGTGTTATTTTCGTCCATAACACCAACATCATTTATAACTCTAACTTCAAACCTGCAACTCCAAATTGACTTCTCGATCTTCAAATCCATAAAGCAAAAATTAAGTTCAGCGCCAAATTCCCAAAACTGCAACCAAAGGCTCTGATACCACTTGTCAGAACAAAAGAGTGCAATCGATAATTCAAACCAACACGAACGAACAAAAATTTAACTTGGTTCACTAACACAATGTGTGCTAGCTAATCCACAGGCAGGGGAAAACAAATTTAACTAATTTGAGGAGAGTACAGGTTACAAACCAAATTCCCGAACGGACAAACCAAACAAACTAACCTGACTGACCTTACTACAGATTAGGGTGATGAAGAGTATTTGTAGAACTCTTCTCCTAATCCCAAACAGAAAACCAAACACTTTTTCCCATACATACAAGGAAAAGGTCAAACAAAGCCCAAACACAAACCCAAACAAAATAGGCCCAAACACAAAACAAACCCAAATCAAATTCAAGTCATATTCTAACATAGACTTATACCCGAGCAGCGGGTAAAAACATGGTTGTCCTTTTCATCCCGTGTTTCAGCCCTTCATGTGTTTTTTCTCGACACTAAAAACACAAAGACATGAGGGAAAAACAAGGTCGTGTTTCTCCTGCTCGTGTTTCTTCCCCAGCTCTTATTCCACTGTCTTTGATGCTTTGTTTCTCCATCGTCCGGACTCCGTATCAGTCATCGTTTGATCTCAGACACTCGTATTATCATCCTCTTTCTTTTCATGACAAGATTACATGATTATTTTCCCATTAAATCAGGTAGAAATCCTTTATTCTTCAGGTCATGCTTGAGCTTCTTCTCCCGAATCGCCAATTGATCTCCGATTGACTTGAAACTTGTGCTTATACTTCACTATACATGTTGAGACCTAAAATATGACAAAAGAACACAACCTAGGGTAAAATAGGCCAAGAAAGCACAAACTCGATAAAAAATTATCAAGAAACGAGGGTGTAAACATCTCCAAATATGATGCTATCATATAACAAGGAGAACTCAAGGAAATACGCTTACATACAAAAAAATTAATGATTGATTATAGCAACATATGACCTTCTTATTTTTGCTAGGTTTGATCTTGCTTTAGTGTGTGCTGTCCTTGCGAACCAATAAGCAACATGGACCCTACAGAATTTTGCTTTGAGGTAGTCACGCAGTTCAATCAATTGATGGTCGCCATGGAAAGACTTTCGTTTCTAGTTTCATACATCCACAAAGTCGGATGGGAGGATATATCATTTGAAGATAGTCCTCGTCTTAAACATACAGTCAAATTGACAATAAACCAAACATAGAGATAAAGTAGAAAGATAGAAGAAGTCAAATCATCATAGATAAACCAAACATCAACCGTTACATCGTCAAAGAACCTCTAGATTTCCCCAACCTATGCAACTAAGAGAACTAGTCAGCCATGGAGACGAGTTTTTGAGGAGTCATCGATTGAAACGAAGCTCATACCACTAGAATCTGTGGTTAGAACTGACAAATTGGATCTGAGGGTGCCAATACCTCATGATAACCGGTGTTGCTCTAAGCCGGGAGAGTTACCATGTCGGGCATTGTAACGACCTCTAATGCCGCCTATCAATGGTTGTCGATTCCTAAACCCTAAAGAACTTTATATTGGCCTTGGATTAGGATTTTTTGGGAGAGAAACTCAACCTTGACGGTTCATTCATCCAATCAGAAGAGTCCTTTGCATGCAGCTACTAATTCAGGATAATTTTTGGACACCTTCTTGACAAAGTAGTCACTTCCTGAAATCGGCGGCCACAGTGTTGATTCTCAACTTGGGCCGCCGATTAAGGCGCCGTTTTATGGGCCCGAGTATTTTTTTCGATTCCTGCTCCAGTAGCTGGCCTTTGACGCCACTCAAACTCTTAAGTGGTCCATTGACCTGCTTTGACCGGACATTGCACAGAATGGTACCAAAAGCCTAACTTGATAACAAAACTAGTCCTAAACTCACTTTAAGCATTCACAAAGTAAATCCAAAGTAACATGACAATAAAGATAGGAAATCGATTCACTTTCGATGATAATTCGGTGGTCTAGAATAGTATATTTCATGTGTCACCAATCCCTTTTGCGGATCAACCCGCAACCCAACCACACTAATTTGTACCATAAAAATAAATTGAAATGGATGGTCAATCACAATTATACCAACTCGTTAGGATTTTGAGAATAAAATATATGCCCCAACTCATCCAATGTGGATCCCTTCCATCGGTGCTACAAATAAAGGATATGAATAAGTTCTAATCACAACAATAATTAACCAATTCTTTATGTCAAAACAACTAATTACTTCTATTAGAAACCATCAAAGTTAACTAAAGTCACGAGCGAATTACGGGCGCAATATAGTATTAGCAACTATCCAATAATTACAGACAAAAATCGATGACCATGCATTGCTACAAAGAAAGTACAAACCATATAAGTGGCGCAGGCGACAGAGGTGTGGGTGGCACAGTTTTGAGCAGCTGCTGGCCAATTGCACTAGCAGCAGTCACTACTCGACGAAGTCAATATATGGCTGCTCTCACCTTTTCTTGTTTCACCACTCCATCTCGTCCATACATATATGCACAAAATTCTACCCACCCAACCCCTCCAATGATTCCCAAAATCAAGAAACCCACATCCTCAACCTGAGATCAGATTTGTCGATATTGTTGCATCAACTTGTTCATCAAGATGGGAGTAAAGAGTAATGTTCTTCTTAACATCATCATGGCCATCCATTCTACACATTCTCTCAATCGCAATCGTTATATTAACACATAGACATTTTTTACTAGAAATCAGTATTTTATTCGAATACTCAACTCCCATTAATTACCGTATAAACTTCAATTACTACTAACATCTTAATTTAACGGTTAAAAATCCGTGGTAGACAATTGAACAGTACAAAACAAAGAACATACATCCGTTCCATTACTAATAAGACTCCCATTCATTAAAATGAATGGCTGAAGTGCATTTACATACATACCATAGCAATCATCCGGTGTTCATACTTCATACCCCTAAACCTTCAATCAACAGCCAAAGTGTGATCGATTTTTCTGGATCCATGCACCCTCCTTTCCTGGAAGGATAGGACTGCGGTAGCAGCTAGATGAGCTTGAGCTTTTTTGTCCTCTGCTCCTTGTTCTTTTGCTAAGAGCCGTGACCCATTTTTTCCCCCCCACCTTGCCCTCCAAGAATTGGCCGCCCTCCACTTATATTTCCTATTCCTATTTCTTTCTTGCTGCCCACTTCCCTTAATTTCAAACACAAACATAAAAAAGCCCCCCTCTCTCTCCCCCCTAGACCTTCCATATACAGCCGAACAGCAGCCAGAAAAAAAAAGGAAGCCATGCGGCCGAGTTCCAACGGTGGAACTCATAATAATACGGCCATGGAGGAGGAAGCAAAGCTCCCCTTGCTCCAAGGAAACGACCACGCCGCCGCCGCCGCCCTTATCCACAAAACAGCCGCCGCCCTCGTCAAGGACAAAAACGCCCCCCACGACGCTGCTGACGACATCGTGACCAAGGTATGGACGGAGACGAAGAAGCTATGGCACATAGTGGGCCCCGCCATCTTCAGCCGCCTCGCTTCTTACTCCATGCTCGTCATCACCCAGGCCTTCGCCGGCCACCTCGGAGACCTCGAGCTCGCCGGCATCTCCATCGCCAACAACGTCATCGTCGGCTTCGACTTCGGCCTCCTGGTAAATTAACCTATCACCACCACTTCCTCCAAATAAAGACTTTATCTTATTATAAGGATTTTTTTTCTTCTTCTCTCTATCATCAGCTCGGCATGGCCAGCGCGCTCGAGACGCTGTGCGGCCAGGCCTACGGAGCCAAGAAGTACTACATGATGGGAGTGTACATGCAGCGGTCGTGGATCGTCCTCTTCATCTGCTGCCTCTTCCTCCTGCCGCTCTACCTCTTCGCGACGCCGTTTCTGAAGCTGGTGGGCCAGCCGGACGACGTGGCGGAGGTGTCCGGGGTGGCGGCCATGTGCATGATCCCGCTCCACTTCAGCTTCGCGTTCCAGTTCCCGCTCCAGCGGTTCCTCCAGAGCCAGCTCAAGAACATGGTGATCGCGTGGATGGCCCTGCTGGCGCTGGTCGTCCACGTGTTCGTCAGCTGGCTGCTCGTCTACCAGCTCCAGCTCGGCGTCGTCGGCACCGCCATGACGCTCAACTTCTCGTGGTGGGTTTGGGCCGTGGGCTGCTTCGGGTACGCGGTTTGGGGCGGCTGCCCGCTCACCTGGACCGGGTTCTCCATGGAGGCGTTCTCCGGCCTCTGGGACTTCGCCAAGCTCTCCGCTGCCTCGGGGGTCATGCTCTGGTACACATTTCGATTAACTAATTCGTCGCCCGCGAAAATCGTACAACGTTTGATGTGTGTGATTTTGGATTTGATTGATGCAGTTTGGAGAATTGGTACTACAGAATACTGATCTTGATGACCGGGAATCTCAAGAATGCAGAGATCGCGGTGGATGCTTTGTCCATTTGGTAAGTGGCCAAAACCCAAAAACAATGTATACTACTTAATTTGATTTTGTGCACTGTACATATATACGACAGCTACAGGATAATTATAATATTAGTTTGTGTGGATGGAGGAGGGGATTCGCCTAGTCTATTCTACTGCGTACTTATATACTGCTTATTAGATTCGTGTTCAGTTTTTTTTTTTGTGGGGCTGATGACTGTGACATTGTAATGGCAGCATGACCATAAACGGGTGGGAGATGATGATTCCATTTGCTTTCTTCGCAGGAACTGGGTACGTCCATTTCTTCTTCTTCTTCTTCTTTCACTCGATTGATCCATCTTGTTTTGGTCCTTTTTTTTTTTTAACTTGTTTCCATCTGGCCTTTCTTTCACCACAAATTGGATTCTTACATGTGTGGTACATGGTAGACCCGCGCCCACCTAAAAAAAGCTATGGTTACTGTTTAAGACCTGACATCTGATTTGAGTTATAAGCCAAAATCAACAAAATGGGTTTTCAAATTGGTTACGGCAACTGTGACCGTCTTATACTTAGCTAGCGGCTAAAATGAAAATCAGTATTTAACTGTCACAGCATTGGATTTTAGTTACCATTTTTCTTGTTCAAGATGCATGTGAGGGTCCTTAGTCATAAATTAACGGACTTTTGGCGACAAGAGAACAGAGTAGGATCAAGTTAAAAGGTCGTCAGGACTGGATCCAATTGCTTGCTGATGCGAGTGCGACCTATATATACAGTATATATATATATATATATATATATATATATATGTTCTACGTTGTCGTTTCACCTCAAGTTGTGACTGACTGACTGTGATATGCTTACACAGCTATATATCTATCCCCTAGCTTAGCTTGTCGCTTGCATTCAGATTCAGACACCAACCCAAAAAAAATTTATTTAATTTATAACAATGTTTAATGCAGATTAGTGCACGCATTTTCTTTTAATGATTTGAAAAAGTGCTTAGGTCTAAAGTGGCACCTAGTGTGGTCATAAGTCAATGGCTACCAAAATACGTTTTCGCTTTATAGCCCGAGAGAGCAATCTCACAAAGAACTTGCACTATTCCAAGTAAAAAGTGATTCTAGTACTAATTAGGATCTTAGAACGCCCATGATTGCTTTTGCTTTAGCGTCACAAGAGAAATTTTGTGGCTGAGTTTAATTGTTTTTCTTATACTTTGCTATACAGAACAATCTAATACTTGAATTGAATCTGCCAAACTGGTTTAAAGTAGATATAGACAATCCACCAATTGATGTTGATGTAAATTGATGTACAACATCGTGTCAGTTACTACTAACAAGTTCAAGATTCAAAACAAGGATGGAGTAGAAACTATTAAAAATAATTCGCGGTAGCTTTCACCGATTGAAACTAAATTTATCATGGTGGAGTGGAGCTAGTAGTCGCCTACCGCGTCACTTCCCAAATTTGTTTATCAAATATGAAGATGAGCTCAAACTTTCAAACCCTTGTTGGTATACTACCTGCCACTATGTCTCTGTTCGAACATTCTCTTTCCCTTTTGAAGAGTGCCAAATTGAATAAACAAGAGCAAGTTGAGTTTTTCCATTGTGATGGTGACGACTAGCCCTCTATATGGTTTTGTCAATTCATGAAACGCTAATCATAAATTTGCATGCCCCACCGAGGCTTAATTAGGCTGGGTTAATAATAATGTGTGGCTTTCTATGTGTTTACGTCTTCTATTTGAGTTGTCGTGTTATGATTATTTAGAGTTCGATTTCTTTCCTACCCTGGACTTGATCATAAATTCCACCCACCTAACCATTCAATCAACACGTACACATACATAAATTAGGACTGTTCTGGCGGCCCAACCCCGACAACATCACCTCGTCCCACGTAGTACACTTACAAATTTGTCGGGAAAGAAATTAATCTTAAAAAAGAATGATTTAATGTTAAGTTTTCTGAAATAATCACACCGAGGCTAATTAATTAATTAATGCAGAGTTAGGGTTGCCAATGAGCTTGGAGCTGGGAACGGGAAGGGAGCCCGGTTCGCCACCATGGTCTCGGTGGTGCAATCGGTCATAATCGGCTTATTCTTCTGGCTGCTGATCATCATCTACGACGACAAATACGGGTGGATTTTCACCAACAGTAAACCGGTTCTCGATGCGGTCAACCAGCTGTCCATCCTCTTGGCTTTTACCGTGCTTCTCAACAGCGTGCAGCCAATTCTCTCAGGTTTTGTTTCTCTTCGGATCATATTATAATCTACATCTTCAACCACTAAATTGGAACTGCATGCTGAAATCTTATATGTTTAAGCTTTGCAGGAGTGGCTGTGGGGTCGGGATGGCAGAAGTATGTGGCCTACATAAACTTGGGCTGCTACTATCTCGTTGGAGTCCCTCTAGGGTTTTTGATGGGCTGGGGCTTCGACCTGGGAGTCAAGGTAAGCCCAAACCCAACCACCAAACTCCACTTTTCTTTTCTTTTCATAGTGGAAAGAATCTGAGAGTAATGAATGAGTACAAACAAACAAAAAACTGGTGCAGGGAATCTGGGCTGGAATGATATTTGGAGGAACAGCGTTCCAGACACTGATATTGGCCATCATAACCATTCGATGCGATTGGGATAAAGAGGTACATAGAACTAGACATATCTCCAATTTAGAATTGCATGATTCTAAAGTGAATTTATAAGATATCACTACTGGGATTGATATATGTTTGTGGGTGGGATTTAAATTCGATTTCTGCAGGCAGAGAAAGCAAGATTACACGTAACCAAGTGGTCAGGAGTCCAATGAGAAAGAAGTGTTTGAACCAGCAGACATGGCTGGAAAAGGAAGAAGATGATGATGAAAACGGATCGATGTTGGACTAATTAATGGCGTTTTCTTTGGCAAGTCATGGCAATGGCAATATGGATTATTAGCTCCAATATTCAATTACCAAATGCAAATTAGGGGTTGATTATTAGAATTTTGTTATCCCAAAAGGAAAATGTTGTATATCATGTTAACATGATGATTTCATATCTTAATAAAAGAAAATTCGATCACATCATAACTCATAATACATTAACTCTTTACTAATGCAGTACTATTAATGGCCTTCAATAGCTTGTATCAGACGTTTCATTTGGAGCGAGTCTATCCTCCTTGGGATTCAGGCAAAAATCCTTACTCATTAAGAGACTGCCTTGGACGATTTTATGGGGATGCATCTTATGGTTGTAGTACCTTGCCACCTGTCTCTTTGTTTCTTCGAGACACATGGATGTCATGTCTCGAAGTTTGTCCAACAAATCCAACTCGACGACGCAAACTTTCGTGGTTGTGGAATCTTGGAAGTGCGTCACCCTAAAATTTGGGATGTGCAGGTCTACTAGAATGACCGTTTTGCTTTCTGATGTTAGCACAAAACATTAAGTTAGTGTGATACCTCCTTTGTTACAATGAGTTGCACGTCCGCAATGAAATCAACGAAAGTGGCTAACTTGGTCAAAGCATCAGCACGCGCATCCTCTTCTCTTGGAATGTGCATGAAGGTTACATCACAAAATCACGCGCTCTAATGTTTGACACTCTCCATGTACACCTCTAAGGATTCCTCCTTGACATCATATACGCCATGCAGCTAGTTAACCACCAGAACCAAATATATACATACTGCGATCTTCTGTGCCCCCAGCTCTCGTGCCATGTGGAGTCCCATAATGACCGACTCGTATTCGGTAGCGTTGTTTATCTTCAAGGTTGAAAACCATAGTGCTACTTTGTGCTTGGCGCCTAATGGACTAATGATCACAATGTCATCGCATCTACTCGGTTTGCTACCTCGTGGACAATGACTTGCCATTTTCCAACATTCTTTGGCCGCCACCCCTGAATCAGTTACTCCTTTGACTGTAAAACCCATCAATACTTATGCCTTGGCAAGAGGCCGTGGAGCATATCGAGTGTCATATTTTCTCAACTGGACATCCCACTTCACAAGGCGGCCTGCCACGTTCTTCACCAAGCATTCCTTTCAATGATAGGCTGGTGAGCACCACGATCGGGTGCGCCGAAAATTAAAGGTGAAACTTAGTTGGAGCATTGACTATTGCCAAGGTAGCCTTGTTAATCGACGCATAACTCATTTCGTGCCCCACCATTGTCCTGCTTACGTTATAAATTGGGTGCTCATCACTTGTCTTCTCATTCCTGGATATCAATACAACACTCACAATTGTGTGGGAGATAGCTATATAGAGGTATACCACTATGCTTGCCTTACGAACCGTCATACAAGAAACCAAGTATGTTTGATGAATGGTTGGATCGTATTCTTCAAATAGGATCATGAACAATGTTTACAAGAAACCAAGTAGCAACTACACAGCTAACACAAGAACCAAACCAAACAAACTTGCCTACTACTAGTAGCTATTATTACAAACCTACTATAGAAATCCTTTAATACCACAGGATCTTGACAGCAGGTGACGCAGCAAACCTATAGTCTCCCTGCTCTTTAGCTTCCATTATCCCCTGCATTTTATAGATCAAATCCTCAACAGTCAACTGCTTACCCCCCATAAAGCCGCCTACAACGTTCTTGCCATACTTCACTCAACACCAAACACCAAAGTACTCTACCAACCAGGCACTTACTAAGCTTCTGAGTTGCAAATTCCACTGCCTGCTGCAAATAAAGGGTCACCGAGATTTGCCATGGCGTAGGGAAAACATTAGCCCTACTTGATGCACAAACTCACACAGAAAAAAATATATGGTCCTTTGACTCTGACTCCTGCCCATAGAGAGGGTACGTAGTAACCGCTTCAGAGTTCCAACATTGTACCACATCCAAGGTAGTTATTCGCCCCAATAGAACCTTCCAGAGGAGTTTAGACCACACCACTGCTTCACCTCTCGGCTTGATACTCTGCCAAACCTTTCCAATATGAGATCTAGTCATCTTCTCACCTTCCCATTCCACCCCTTAACTAGTTTTGCATAGCTTCCCCTCACATTTATCACGAAGCTTTAGAATCTTATTCCAAACCCAAGAACATCTAGTTTTCACTTCCCAAATGCTCAGATTACAAAGACGATACTATTTCATCCAAGCGATCCAGAGTGTTTCCTGGTCAGATAGGATACCCCAAATATGACGAGCCATGCAAGCTTTTTTCTAAGAACAAAGATCCTATAAGTATACCCAAAATGAAAATATTACATAACCCTATAAGTATAATTTCTTAAAAACTAATTTAATATTAATAATGTCCCCCATTCTTCCCTATAAACTCAAATCTACTAAAACCTCAAAAAATATCCTTAAGTGACAGTAATAATTATAACGTAGTTAAGATAATAAAATTAATGATACGTCAGCAATACGTGCCTTCATCAGTCCTCATCGCTTCAAGACTAACCTATGCATTGTCCTTGCCTGCTTATACGACCACCTCATCAGCTTCATCTTCAAGCGTTCCTACTAGCAACCTTGGTCTGGTCATGACTACTGCAACTCTGCCTCGTCGGTGCCTCCTACTTCACTAACCGCTATTGTGGATCCTCTTGTGCGTCTGGCTAACTTCCTAGAATTTTCTTCCCCCGACTAGTTTTTCCTCCTTCCTTTTAACCACATGGAAGGTAATGCGTACAAAATTAGGCTAAAAAACTTTAACATCGTAACACAATTTTTCCAAGGTCTCCTCTAAAATCCCATAACACAGATTCCTGAGTTGTTAAAATTCTTGATTGAAATTCCAACTTCTTAGAAGTTAACTCCCCGTGCATAGAATCAATCCAAGCTACTCTTTTAACTTCTCCCATGTAATTAGCTCCTCTCTATCTACGTAAGTACAATATAGTCATTACCATCATTGCTAAGCTCCAACCTCGAGGTAAAATGATGTTAAGTATGCATGTCTCTCCTTGATGCCCAAAATTTTGTAGAATTCGATGGTGGGCGCTGTCAATCAGAACCATCCTTCTCTGTCACCCTCACTGTCGTGCTAACCACCACTGTCTCCATGGCGGCCACCAGTGGCGGACCTAGGATTGTTGAAGAGGGGTGTCGCCTAATGAACGAGTATCGGTTATAATTATTAAAGTGGTGTTCGAAATCTCATATTAAAATTTTTTGTACCAAAAATATATAGGTTCTTCACAATGCAACACATAGGTCCGCCCCTGGCGGCCACTATTCCTACTACCCTTGGCAAAGTCATTGTGGTCGTGTTCGATCATCTCCCATTCATCATCCATATCTCCAAACTCGCCATCCTCCTGTCGTCGGAGTGGGTCTCCTACGCCGTGAATTCCTCCACCTTTCAAGAATCCCTTGCTTTCCAATGGTCCACTAAAATGTGATAATATGGTTGGATTGGTCCCCGACACGCATCCTAGACCAAAATGGTATGTTGTGCCCTCATTGGATCTGGTTTGGTGAAACAATGGGTTGAACCGAACATGGTTGGATCTTTGGTCCAACTAATCTCGGTACACTCCACCTCGAGCCTTTTTCGTCGCTTCGGTGCACTCCAGGTCTTGGATCTTCGCCCTATCTCTACCACCCTTAGCATGGTCGAGTGGCCTACAAGTAGCGCCGCCATCACTACAGGTTCCAGTGTACCTCCATCCTCGCCTCCATTTTGCGTCTCATTACCTCGGCCTTCTGTGCCCTCCGTTATCATCGGTGTGTCCTTTATGGAATCGATGACCACCACAACCTGGGTGTCGACCTTGTCTTCGACATCAATAGTGTCGGGTAGCTCAGCGAAGACTTCCTTCATGATGGTTGTGCTATAATTATGGAGCATCGATCGTTGTGCGGCGTTCTTGCCCCGTCACTGCCTCCACTCATTGGTCTTGCTCTAGCAACTATCTAGCTTGTTACCAAGCGTGTCTTCACCTCTGTCCAACTTTCCAAGCTTGGACAACACCATCTAGACATCAAGGTCTTCCTGCATGGTGGTTTTGATAGATGCAAACATCGATGCTTTTGTCTTGTCCTTGGTTTGTGTCTCTACTGGCATAAAATCTTCCCCCAACCAGTCTCTGATACCATCTAATGAGTGCCTAGATTTATTAGTGGATGTTTGTTTTTGGGTTGTGGTGTTTGTGGGATGGAGCATACATGTATGGGAGGAAAGAAGATGGGAATGAGTGGTTTATGAAGGGTGGTGCGGATGTATGGTTAGACAATAAATGTCATTTAGTTGTCACATGGTTCTACAGAAATTGAAGGTTTCGGTGCTGCACTTTCTACCGCGACATCTGTCCACTGGTTGAGTAGATTTCAAATAATTTATTCTATTTTCATCCACAACTATAATGTTGTCAAAATTGACTATGTTTGGACATTTAACTACATGAACAAAACTATGTCTTTTTTGTTGTTGCCAAAAACTATGTCATTAACCATTTGTTTATAAACACTGAACTTATTTAGTGGAGCAAAATAGGATAAGCAATATTCATTAAGAAACAATTAGTGCGAGTTTAAAGAATTCACAATTTTTTGGCTTATTAGACAATAACTCACTAATTCAGTGATCTGTCCTGGAAGGAACTTCAAACTATGAAACTTATATATGCATAAAAATCAATATTGTACACCACTACAAGGAAAAATGAAAGAAAATAAAACACTCTACCTGCATTTGAATAATCAACCCCAACTTGGAAAAAAAATATCACAATCAAGCACCATAACTCTCAATTCATGTCATCTCCATAAAAGAAAAAAAGATCAACCAATTTTGACTCTTGTAATTAACTGCCAATGCCCAATTTTGACTAAATTTTCCTCTTTCTCCCTTTTAATTACCCAAAACAAAGGGGAAAACCAAACGTAAAAAAAGCAAAAGTATATGCACAGCAACTCAGCAAGTAAAGAACGGCCCAACTAGATATACCTACTGGACCCAAACCGGGCCGACGAAGCCCGAAACGAGTCACTGCAACTCAAAACTCGTCCCCCGAATCGAGCCGACTCAGTCCCCTGCTCTCTTCTTCCTCCCCACGTCAGCAAAAGCCTCCCTTGTTTCTCCCCTCTACAGGCCTCTGTACTCTTATCCAAAACTTCCCTCACCGCAACCCACATCCCGTCGATCAAAACTCTCTTCCTCGTCGGCGACAATTCCACCATCTTCTCTCTACACCCTTCCAGTCGCTTCAACACGCAGACCAGCTCCACCGATTCCCCGAAACTCAGGCAACTCACCCTGTGCTTGAACTCGTTGACTCGGACAGATACATCGTTAATCGCCGACAGGAAATCCGCCCCTACGAAATTCAGGATCTCGCCAATTATCGAATTTCCTTTCAGATGCAGGGATTCCGGTTTCCTACCGGCCTCCTCCATCAGCCCAACCAGCGAGTCCATCTCCTTCACCAAATCGGAAGTCACCATCGCCGACACTTTCTCTTCCGCTCTGTCTTTCTCCGCCGTACTGGTAGTTGAGCAGAGGAAGAATCCCAGTACCCTCGACGCGTACAGCAATTGTTCTAAATACCGCGCATACCTGCGAGTAAAACTAGCAATTCAGATTCAGAATTGAGTTTCTGAGACGGAGAATTGACAATTGATGCTTTTTCTCCCCCTCGACTTACCATCGAACCCAGCAGGAGAGCTCCCAGGAAACAGGGGAGGAGTTATCTCTGAAATTAGAGAGCTTGAGATAATTCCGGCCGCCGGAGGAAGGGTAGACGGACAACTGATCCTGGAGGATGAAGCTGCCCTGCTTGACGATTTGGTGGACGATGAGGAGGCACTTGACGGCGACGGAGGAGTCGTGGGTGTGCTGGAGGCGGTCCATGAGGGCTTCGATGGCGGCGGAGGCGGTGGCGCGTGAGCCGTGGCCATAGGAGAGGAGAGTGGCGATGTGTTTCGGGTTGGAAAGGGTGAAGGGGTCGTGGGTCGTAGCCCGTAGAAGAGATAAATGGAGAGAGTTATTAATCGCAGCTGCTTTGCTCTGGGAAGCTTTGTCCTTGATCGCGCCCACTAGGTCTCTGAGATTCGTCAAGCGACCCATCGGAGAAGAAGGAAAGAAATCACAAGTCTGGGGGATGATTCAGCGGAGAGGAGAGAAGACGAAAGACAAAAAGGGATTATAGATGATGATGAATGGATGATTATGGTGGTGGGCCTAAGAAGGAAATATCAAGAGAGGAAACAGGGGAATAAAGAAAGAAAGGGAAAGAACTGAGAAGGGGGATCGGGATTGGGATTGTGGACCAATTTAGGTTAATGGGATGGGAGGGAGAAGAGTTTGATTGGCGCCGGCGGGTAATGGTTTCTGTGTTTACATGTGTAAATGGTCCTGCGGCGGCTATATTTTATTTCCTGGGTTGCTTGCTATTTGTGTTTCGTTTGCTATTTTTATATCACAAGAGACACACTCAAAGCTTCCTTCCATGGTGAGACCGTGAGAGGGGAGCAAGGGTCAAGGTAACTCTTGTCATTTGTGGAAGATATCACCACATATGTTGTTGGATAGTACGACTTAGATTTGTAGGGAAGCATTTGTGTTGACCGGATGGCTAACGGGCTAATTGGTTTGATTCAGTCGGAGAGTTATCAAGTTTTATTTATTTGTTTGTAAATCAGAATGCTAAACGACACTCCAACGTTTAATCGTTAATAAGATGAGGAGTTTGAGCATCAATGAAGTTGTAATATAACTAGTCATTCAAAGTCAGACTGGGAGCTTCAAGCTCACCTATAGGTAAATTATGGTTTATTGACGCTATATAATTGACAACTACATTGTGATCCTCAAATAGTTGTTGATCTCATTTCACCTATAGAGCAAGGTTTCCAAAGTTATCCCACAGATGTTGGTTCTCAATCCTATCAGGTGGAAGGCCTTGATAACTTACTAGATGAAGGAGCTACACCTTTCGTGTTATCTTTCTCTGAAGGACGCGACAAACAAAAGGCAGCAAAAAAGAAAGGTAAGATAGTTGCTGAGTCGTTAGACATACACACTTCTCAACTTCTAGAGTTTGGTAATGATATGAGAGAGAGGCAAAAGTCGAAGATAGAGTATGAATGGAGAAGAATGGATGTTCAAGAGATGAGATTAGAGCATGAGAAAGAGGAATGGGCGTACAAGAGGCAAGTGAGGAAGCATGAAGTAGAAAAGTGGGCTATTGAGAAGAAAGAGAGGGAGATCGTAATACTTCATAAAAAATGGCTATTCTGGAGAAGGATCTATCAAGGTTGACACCACGACAGAAGAAGTTTTGGAGAAGTAAACAAAATGACATCTTTAGGTACTATCAAGATGATCCCAACCCTAATCCAAGTGATGTCGGAGATGGAGATGAAAGTGGCGGGGGAGAAGTAGGTGATTATTATCCTGTTATGGATTATTGACAGAAGAAAGTCTTATGTGTACTCTATTGTCTTTACTATTTTCATGTGTTGTGTGTTGGCTTTGAACTTTATTGTTTTCATGTGCTATGTATACTCTTTGAACTTTGTTATTTTCATGTGTAATAAAAGCTAGTGTTATTGAAACATGTTGACTAACGAGAAATTTTACAATGCTATATAGTATTGGTGCTATAGATTTTTTCCTTTATGGTACAACTTAAAGTTGTACATTTACGTTATGGTACAACTTTAGATTGTACCTATACTTTTCGTACAAATCCTTTTATGGTACAACTTGAACTTGTACCTTTATGTGATGGTACAACTTCAAGTTGTAAAGTTGTACCATAACATAATGATACAAATTGCTTGATGGTACAACCTAAACTTATACATTTAATGTTATGGTACAACTTTGAATTGTACATTAAAGCACCAATGCTATATAGCATAGTAGAAGTGCTCGTTGACTAAGTACATGGCAAGTTTTATTGAAATATGAAATAAAATCACATATCAAAACATGAAATACAAACTAACAAGCAATATGAAATAAAATTAATATTGAAACTTGAAATACAATTTACCATTAAACAAGAATAGTTATTATCAAATTCCAAAGATGATCAACCAAGTCATTTCGTAGCCCATGATGTGTTTTTAAGAGCAAATCCTGTTATTTCTAGGCAAGTAATCAATAAAAGTTGGAATGTGCTAGTTGACTGATTGAGGTTGTTCATGGACCTCATAATCGAGGTTACCTTCCACCTCATCATCATAATTAATGTGTTCTTTCTCGATTTTCATGTTGTGTAATATAATGCATGTCAACATTATATTATTAAGTGTGGCAACATCCCAAACTCTTGTAGGGCCACAAACAATTTCCCATATTGTTTTGAAGATTTCGAATGCCCGCTCTTCGTTTCTGCGGTGTGCTTTTTTATGTTGAGCAAACAAAGCCTCTTTGTTTGACATGGGATTGCTCGAGGTTTACACTAAATTTGACCATGAGGGATACATACTCAACCAAATAATAACATTGATCGTATGCATTACCATTTACCTCAAAGCATGCATGTTGAGCAGTTTCATCAACGATACAATCAAATACTGGAGACATCCATAAAACATTTATATAGTTGTTCGATCCGGGTGACCCAAAGAAAGCATGTCATATCCATGTGTTGTGTGAGCCCACCTCCCCAAGAATGATTGTTGGCCTATGCATGTGGCCAGTATATTGTCCTGCCCAACCACTTAGACAGTTCCTCCATTTCCAATGCATGTAGTCAATTGATCCAATGATCATAGGAAAACCAAGACTTGAGGCTTTATGAAGTAAAATCCTTAAATCGGTAAAAGTTGGTCCACAAAGGTATATGGTCATGTACGTGTTGATAATATTATTGCAAAACTTTCTGAAGACGTCCATTAAGGTGCTCTCTCCCATACGAAGATACTCATAAAGTTTATCAACAGGAGAACCATATGCTAACATGCGCACCACATCAATAAGCTTATGCTAGGAAGATAGTAATACTTGACCAAGGGCATCATATGACTTAGCATAAATGAAGGTTCAAACCTCACAATGTCACCCATAATGTAATGGAATAACCTTGGTTGCATCCAATAGTACCTTTTGAATATGCGAGCATTGTATACGGGATTCGGATCAAAGTAATCCCTCATAAAACGTCAGTTACTTTTGATCCTTTCACGATCAATGCGAGTTCGGCTTGTAGTTTGAAGTCAACTTGATGAACCTTCATACAACCTCCGACCGATTAAACTCGAACGTAGGTGGTGATATCTTTCATAATCTTCAATTTCTTTGTCTCCTCCTGACTATGAGCTTTTTGAGATACTCATGATGAATTTGTTTGTTTTAGAAAAGTGGAGGAGTTTCAAATGAGTTTATGACAATGAAGGACTGTAATGTATAAAGCCATATCTTGTGTCCAAAATGGTCCAAGGGGGTCTATTTATAGACCTTCTCATCCCAAGAGGAGAAAACCTCTCACGATCATATATCTTTAGAAAATCTCTTGCTTGGTGCTAAAGGAAAGAATATGCTATTAGTTAGAATAAGAAATCATGATATGGAAAATGTGTTCATATAAATTTTTTTGGGTTTAAGTCGAAAATTATAGTCGCCATCTTGGGTTGGACTCCAAAGTTCTATTTTGACTCCCAGTCGACGGGTCATGATGTGTACTGGTCGTACAAGGTTATCCACTAGGATGCCATGGCCTCAATACATCCAAAGAATATCCAAAAAAGGCGTTAACTGCTCGACAGGGATGGCTTGGTCCATCTAGCTTGAGAACAAAGATTTTTGTGTTGTGTCTTTCGGTGATGTTTTGCTTTTGTTCTTCACAACAGGAGTGGCTTGGTCCACTTACTTGTGTTTCTTTCATGTTGTACTTTTGTTTCCCTTATTCCTCTTTGTGCTGGTGGTTGGTTTAGTTCTTGTGAACCATCGCCTCCTCGGTTGGTTTTTCACACCCATGTTTTCTTGGTCTCCGACCTGTAATGCAATTTTTCACCATTATCAAATATAGACCCACAACCACATCAATCACTTTAGCAATTATTTCAATAAGTTATTTCAAACCACCTCATTCCTCCAGTCATAGCAATTTGAATTGACGAGACCAATGACATATTCATATTATTTGTGTTTTTTAAACAATACTTTTGCATAGATAATAGAAAATTTATATGGAATATTCAACAAAACAATGTAGAACATAGACCAAAGACACAACTAACATAAAATAATAAAAATTACATAAAGAAATGCAAAAATGATAAAGAATGAAAGAAAAAAATAGATTACTCGTCGTCTTCCTCTCCTCCAAATTAATTCCAAATCTCTTCAACTAAATATGCTTAAATTTGTTGATTTTTTAGACAAATAACTGAGATGTTAAATAGTACACATCAAATAGATTGTAGCTTGATGGGGAAATTGCTTTATCATAAAACGAGGGCACAATTTCGATTCTCCCTCCCTACAAGCCTAATACTAATACTTTTTTCTTTCCTTGTTGTTAGACCAAGTGGTGTAGCCACCTCCCTTGGGTTAATGTGGCTCCGTCACTGTCAACTTCATGCCTTATCAACTGAACTATTGCTATGATTTGAAGGTAGCGTAAGGTGGATTATACACATTTGTTTTATTGTTTTGGGTCTGAGTTGTAACCTTTTGCTTTCTAGATTGAATAAGGGTTAGACCATATGGAGAAGATGTTATGCTTATATCTTCTCATCTCTCCATACATAATATGTATATGTTCAAGTATAGTGAACCTAGTCTCTTTGAATTAGGTAACACATATTGTGTTAGTAGACCACGTACATATGTGTTGTTTAATTTCTTGCATCGTCGATTTCTTGTTCCGTTCTAATATTAACCATCATTTGGTAATATCATTAATTTAACTTACTTTCAGACCAAAATGGTCGAATCTTTTCCTATAGTTGAGCGATACAAAATCTCATATGGTACAAAATTAATTTATATTTTAATGTTATGGTATAAACAAACTGAATGTATACCATAACATAAATATACAAATTTAGTTATTGCACAAATTGAACATGTACCTTTAATGTTATGAAATAAGTTTAATTTGTATCTCAAAACACCAATAATTTAAAGTTAAAATATAGTAAAATTAAAAATGGAGATCTTTATTGAGATGCACATATTAATATGTAATTTCTAGTAGAAGTGGCAAATGGATTCGATTCATGGGTTGGTGACATGCTAAAACACAAAACCAAAATGCGACCAAGTGCAATCGCAGAATGGAAATGTAGAATAGTGGCAAGTTCAATTTATCAACTCGGGGTCTAGATATACTGCCTACTCCATGACTACCTGTTATCTAGCGGGACTAAGTGTAGTGAGAGTGATTGCAAACAAAAGCAATAAGAAAGCAGGAAATGGTTCGAAGTTCTTAAGCAAGGGAAGAGTCACTCGGGAAAGAGTCCCCCTAGCTCCTTACTTAGGTCAAAGTTGTAATTTCCTTCAGTTTATTTACCGTTGATTAAAATGCGGAAGATCCGACAGTAGCTTGAAATCTCTTAAGCTGACCAAGCCCTATCAGACAGACTACCCAGCAGACGACAAGCCTTCACCGGGATAGAACGCTAAGGCAATTAACACAGAACTC